AAAAAAAAAAAAAAAAAAAAAAAAAAAAAAGAAAGAAACCCTATAAACCCTTTCTTCGTCTCACTCTCACGTGCTGCTCTTCTTCTTTCCGCCGGCTGCTCATCCCTCTCGGCAGCTTAGTGTTGACGCCGTCGCCTCTCTCCCGTTCAGAGCTGCAGCCGCGGATATATCTTCGACTCGTGCCTCAGCAGTCTTCCATCTTGCAGTTTGAACTGATTTTCTACTCTCCTGTTGTTACTGGTATTATCTCAATCTCATTCTCCATCTATATCTTTTTTCTAACTTGAAAAACTCAAATTACGAATTGTCTAATGAAAGAAAGGAGGTTATGTTTTGATTTTTTGTGATTATTTTTTTTTAACAACTGCACTATAGCAACAAAATAGAAATTAGTCTCGCAGCAGATTGGGATTTTTCGAACTGCCGTGTGCTACCTTCCGCCTTTTGATTTATTGCATATGTCTGTCAAATGAAGCTTTGATTATTCATATATCTCTTTGGTCTCTGCTGAGAATTGCCTTGTCTCTTATCTCCTGAAGTAGTAAATTTATTTCGGAAACTTACACCTACATGGATTGTTGTTTCTGGCGCCTTCTTTCAAAGCGCACACCACAGCTCAATGGATATCCTCATAGTATGGATATATTCGGGTTGCTTCAAATTGAAAATATAATAATAAATAAAGTAAATTGAGATGGGGGTACCCAATTTAAGAAGTATTCCCGGGTTCTCTTGCAAATTGCATAATCTATTCTCTCAACAAAACCTTGTTAGAGTCTCTTATTTCGTTTCTTCTTAGCATCACTTTCTTACTATCTGGTGAACAGTTGCTTATTTTTATTTAGGTTCCTTGAAGCTAAATTGAACGTTTATCTCTTTCTTCACTTCTGTGAGCTTTTTCTTTGGTTATGTTGTTTGTTACCCATCTTGATTTCTTAGTTGAATTTGAAATGAGGTAAAAGATCTGCGTTAGTTTGGTTTTCTTGTGGGAATTAAGCTTGTATTGCTGAATTATTTTGTTTTCCTTTTTGTTTTTTTGTTCGTTTCACCGGAGCAATGCAGCATAAAAAACATACGATTGAATGAAGTAGTTGTATGTGATTGTTCGACGAAATGGTCAAATGGAGTTTTCGATTGGTTATGTCTCTTTGCGTATATATTCTGTTCTGTTATTTGATATTAGACTGTTGTTTTGCTATTTGTTGGTGTAGAGGCTTAATAGCTGTGAGTATGAGCAACAAGGTTGGTGCTGTTAAAAGTGTAGAAGGCTATAAACCCCCACCAGAGTTTGAGGAAGACGACAGGGAATTTCTTACTGATATTTCTTTGTCGGACTCTGTAGAGCTTTGGCTTATTCAATGGCCTGCTAATCAAGTAAGATCACATAAATTAATTTAGGAAAATAGGATAGCTACCTTCAATTTGGGAGAAATTAAAATGAACAGCCATAAATTTACATTCTTTCAAGATTGAAGTTTGTTGCAGCCATTGCAAATACTGTTTTACTCGGATTTATTCTTTTCTTTATTGGGTACTGTAGGCTCCGGATTTTGATGGCCAAGAGTTTTCTCTCCAACATCGTCCTGATGGACATTTGGGCAGCTTTCAGGGTTCATCTGGTAATTATCATTTTATCACTGATTTACTATGCTACAATCTTGTCATAACAACAAATTTCCTTTACTCTTTGAATTAATCTAGTATCAGTTTCTTTTTTAAAACTGTTGGTGCATAAATACGCTTGAAGTATGTTTATTTGAATGTGATTTACATCTATTCTGTTTTTTTTTAACAATGAGTTTAACTTATTCGCTGTTTCCATCAAAAGGAAAATCATATGATGTGGTCAGCTGTGTGGCTCAAGAACCTGAGGCTTCTGTCTTTCTACCATCTTCATCAGACACCAGATTAGGTAAATGCCCCATCTTTGTTTTGAATTTGTTTTACGTCACAAGTCAGTAGCATCAGTCTCTATCTCTCTTTTTCTTTGTGTTAAACTTGGCTGCACTCGTTCTGCACCAGTCCTGCTCTCATCTAGATTACGAGATGGCAGTTTCATCTTTAATACTAATGGAGTTAATACCTGGACTTCTTGCTTTTCCTTTGTCCCCAGTGAACCCCATTTCGTATGTTTTTCACATGCCGGTATGTGCCGATTAGTGTGGTCTAGAACTTTTAATCTACTCCTTCCATTGTCAACGAGATCGATGCTGGTTCTTCTACTACAAGTCTTAACATTATACTAGACAGCTATAATATGCTAACACTTCATTCAACGTTCTGTCATGTCTAAAATGTTGAACGCAAACGATCAATGTTGGTAGTTTGTGCATCTTAATTGGAGTCCAACGTCTCCTGACGTTTGTTCAAATCATGTCATATTCTAGTGGCATAATGTCTAAACTTCTGTGTTTTGATTTGTCCTTTTACTCTTGAAGTTGGAAAGATTGCCCGGCGGATATCTCTCGTGCATTACCCAGAACCTGAAGAACTTGAAAAGGCCACCCCTATGAAATCAGTATATAAAAAATCTTCTGGAATGTCACTGACCACTTCATCTCGTCCAACTACAACATCACGAGGCCCACACTCGAGCAGTAGAAGAACAAGCTCTACACGAAGTAGTAAGCCAAGAAGTTCAATATCTGAATGTGGGGAACCATCAAAGCCTTCAAGTATTAAACAGGAACCAGAACCCTCCGAGTCCAGAGATTATCTGAAAAAGGATTCATCGAAAAGAAAACGTTCACAAGCCTAGCGATCGACCGACTAACCACTCTACTCAAGATTGAGGGATGTGATCCTTGTGCAGCAACTTTTTCAGGGCCCTCCCGGCTGTCTAGTGAATGTAAAACAAAAAAAAAAAAGCAAAAGAAATGAATGAGGTTCCTGCAAACTGTATTCATTAGTTTTTGACTGGTTACTAAAGTATGTCTGTACTCTTATTTCCCATTTGTCTTTCCTTGGATTAATTTTGGAGAAGTTTTACGTCATGGGAAGTTGTCTCTTTGATCTGTCATGCTAGTTATAGAAAATTCTTAATTAATATATTGTTTATTAATTCATCTGTATTGTGACATTAGTAGTGGACATGGAAATGATTTTGATATGAAGCGAAACTATATGCTACCGATCTAGCATAAAATAAATGTATTATGTTGGATAGATATTTAGTCAGAGTTCTTGGCAGTCAACGATCGTAAAAGTCATATTATCACGTACAAACGATGAGTTACAAATCAAAACCTATAACCTATAACTTAACAAATCAAAACTTCTAACCTATAACTTACCAAGTTATAGTCGAAGAACTATTTAAATCATCCTGATAAATAACTAACTTATACGAAAAAGTTGAACACAAAATCAGTTTATGGGTAGGTAGGAATATGAATATTGAAGGGGGAGAAGTGAAAAAAAGGTGAAGAAAAGGGAAAATTGATTGAAATGGAAAGGACATGGTGTCCTTTAACCAAATGGAGGGGTACCCATCTGAGGGTACAGACACATCATATTACATGTGGGGAGGTCCTACATGTTTGAGGAGTATAGCCTTTTTGTGAATGCCAAAAAGCCTAAACCCACCCCCCACACACACGTCTTACTTTTATTGAATAAATGACTGAATGTTAGATGAACACGAATCTCCACAATGTTATGATATTGTCTACTTTGAGCATGAGCTCTCATGACTTTATTTTGAGCTTCCCTAAAAGACCTCATACCAATGGAGAGAACATTATTTGATTATAAATCCAAATCATTCCCTAAATTAGTCAATGTGGAAATTTCATCATCCGAATACCTCCCTCGAACAAAGTACGCCTCAGTTTTCTTTTAGAGTCTTAATCATTTTTTACTATGCCTTCGAGGAGGCTCGACTTCTTTTCTTGTGAAGTCCTTTACTCGACATTTGAGGATTTACCAATCTATTGGTACGACTAAGTTTAGAGCATGACTCTGATACCAAATTGAATCAATCCAATCTAAAAAATTTAAGATCAAGTTGAATAGCAAGATTTTTCAAACTGAATAATTGGATTAGATCTAAAATTATCTCGAACCAACCTACTCATCCTAGTCTCTTTGTTATTGTGTCTATAGAATTTGAAACATTTAAGTACAAAACATGTTTGTAAATTAATAAAGTCATGAGTGGAGCAAAGAAGGAAAGGACCAAGGAAGTTTAAATAATGTCTTTGAATCTTCAGAATGATTTTAAAGCTTGTTATAAATGATTTCAAACCGTTTACATTAAAGTTTAAACGAGAAAGATATGAGCAAATGAACGTTGGAGGAAGAAACGGACATGACCGTGACATATTGCTTACGTGGCACTCATGTATTGTTGATGTGTCAAATATTGTGGCATTCAAAAATCATATCTATTTGGCGTGATAAATAAAATCGTCACATTTTATGATGTGACAATAACTTGTAGTGTGACATGACAACAACGTGTCATATGTAGATGAATAGCGTGCAAACATGGTGGCGATTTGTTTGAGATGCAAATACAAAAAAGAAAAAATAACAAATCCGAGATTAGTCCACCTATCACTGAACGACTGAGGAACAACGCTAAATTGGATTTTAGAGAATTCAATTCTTGTTCTCAACCCACGACCAATATGAACTCGAGGTTTCCTTCGTAACTCCCAAAACTTCTTTGTAATGGATCCATTCCCTGCTTAATTTCATAGAGAATCTCAAAGTGGCTCTATTTTATTATATTTCATTCATTTAATATCTCTGTGATGTCATTGAGTTACGGAAACAATACTAGAGGATTCACAACTACAAAAAGAATTGAAACATATACGGTGCCTAAAGTTTTTGAGTACAAATAAACTCTCGCCCGGCCCGATCGAGTGTTGTTTATGGTTCAGTTATTTGTTTCCGTGTAGAAATAATGGAACCGAAACCCGAAAAAGGTTTATATCCAATGGAAAACAAACAAAGATTGCATATTTATTTCTGAAAAAGAAATTGAAAAAGGCAAAAAAAGGAGTGAAAACTTTGGCAGAAGGAGCAGGAAGGTAACTTCTGAAGATAGAGAACAATTTATTAAATGAGGAAGAAGACGACAGAGTAGCAGACAGGTAGCTTTCTAATCTCACACACCCTTCCTGCTTCCTACATATATGGATTTTCCTCTTCTCTCCCAAATCAAGTTCTTTCATTAATTACTTCAAAAAACACACACCCATCCACACTCACTGTCCTTTCTTTTTCGTTGTTCTTTCCATCCCACATTAATGGGAGAGACGAGAGTGTGAAAAACTAATCCTTTTTAAATATCTCAAATGAATACCCAAAGAAAACAATATATCCTAATGGTGGGTCTGGCTCGAACTCGAATCATATGGGTGTTCTAAGAAACTTCATAATCATGAACAGAAAGCGGAATTCATTTAAAGATAATTTTTTTGGAAACTAAAAGGAACAGAGCATATAAATTCTGAAGAACAGAGAAATTTCCTGGCTTAATTAATACGACCACATGCAGTCGAGTTCAGTGGAGTTCATGAATCTTGTTTCGTCGGAGACGGCCCAATTTCCGGCTGAGCTGCAAGCGCCGACATCAGCTGATGAGATGTTGCCGTGGTGGAGCGCCGTCGTTGGAGAAGGAAGGTTGACCGGCGTGTAGAAGAATGGAAGTTGGAGATTCTCTTGCAGGCTCCGCAGACTTGGGAACACCGACAGGCCGATGTTTCGGTGGAAGCGGGTAGATGGGTCGGCGGCGACGAGTGGCGGTGGAGGGGCAAAATCGTAATTTGGGATGTTTAAGCTGCCGCCGGTTGTCGTGGAGAAACAGGACACGTGCTCTCTTGCCGCTGGGCTGTTGTACGAGCAGCTGTCACGGTCGGGTATGTTACCAGACGCCGTCGAAATGGTGGCCGGAGCGGAGTAAAGTGAGGAGTCGAGAAGTGGCGGGAGAGACACCGAGGACGTCGAACTTGGTTCTGGGTAGACGTTAATTGAACCGGGAACAAACCGCGCTTTCTTTGAACCACCGCCGTTGCTCGAGGTGGCTCCGCCATTTCCACTGCCGGCGCCACTCTTCTGAAACACCCTCGAAATCACCCACTCATCCTGCATTACAATAGAACATAATCAAAATCCGACCAAACTCAAATACATTTAAAATTTTCAAATTCCATACATAAAATCATCCAAAAATAATAATAATTTATTTAAAACTGCTTATTATGCTAATTAAACTAATCAAAATCCAGCCCATATTATAATTTTTTAATCCTGGGATTTGTAGAAATTAAATTACTAAAAATAATCATCAGTTAAAAAATTTACTCAAATTACTAGGAATCCCGACCCTCCACAATTAATTAATGATAATCTACTACAATTAATGATAATCTAATTGACCTCCGATAATATAGATAATATTCTTTACTTATAAATGAATAATTTTATTATTAATTAGGGAAAGTGTACTACTACTATTAATAATTAATAAATAACTAATTAAACTATATAAAAACCCTAACTTGAATTAAAAAAAAAAATGAAATTTTTGGTACAAGGAAGCCATGATTACAAAAACGACGGCATACCCATTACACAAAAAAGCATTAAAAACAGGAAATCATTAACAAGGGCGAGAGGGAAAGATCAGACAAGAAGAGCTGTTCATTGTTAGGGTTTCTGGGTTAACAAAAAGTTCGTACCTTGGAGGTTCTAGAGAGATAATGGTAAGCAAAATTGCCTTCGAGGCGGTATTCATGCATAACCCAGTTGCTTTTTTCTCCTTTTGGAGCTCTTCCTCTATAAAACACCAATGTCTTCTTCATCCCCACCAATGAATACGTTTTCGCACTGTAAATTTCCCTGTCTTTTCCGGTGGCTTTCCAGTACCCGGCTTCCGTGGCCCGGTTCGTTCTTAAACCGGTTGGATACTTCCGGTCTCGAAGGCTGAAGAAATACCATTCCTTCTCTCCCATCTTAGCTTTCTCTGCAATGGGTAAAGAATTAATTAGTGGTTAGGAGAAGAATCGAGTGGGTGAGATATGGGCTTACCCGGAAGCTCCCATGGCTCGCACTTGTTGAGGTCGACTTCGGCGATGGCTCGACCGGTGAAGGTGCTGTCGAGAACTTTCTTGAGGAGGTAGTAGGTGATGAGCTCCTCGTCGGTGGGGTGGAAGCGGAATCCGGGCGGCAGGTGGTGGCTGTCGTCGCAATGGGAAAATGAAGAAACGTCCATTGGTGGATGGAAAAAAGGTGGGGAATTTGGAAGGGGGGAAGGAATTGAAGGGAGACCCAGAAGAGAAGGGCGAAAACCCAGATGAAAAATGTGTGGAAGTGGAAGAATGGGGAATAAAAAGAGTGGTAAAATGGGGGTGTCGTGTTGTGTGTATGTGTGGGAGAGAGAGGGTGAGGGGGGGAGGGATGGCGATGTGTATGCGTCAGGGGGGGGAGTGGGGGGGTTCTGATTTGAGTATGTATGCGTGCGTGAGGAAGTGTGCAGGTATTCCTCTATGTCAGTGAAGAAAATCAAATGAAACCCATCACGAACCAACATTGTTTTTTTCTTTGTTTCAAAAAAAGTGATGAATTAAGAAACCCTATCTCGGTAGTTTTGGTACGTGCTTCTCCGAAAGGCGTCTCCTATCAATCATCTCCTCGATCGAGGCTCGACTTCTTCCTCTAGAGTCCATAACACATTAGGAATCAGAACTCTCAACAATGACTTTCTTTGGAGCCCTCCAACAAAGTACACCTTTGATCGTCTATATTTGAGGATTCTAATGTCATGGTCGAACAAAGTACATCCTTTGTTTGTAGATATTTGAAAAATTGCTAGCGGCATAAACTATGTTCATCAACCAAGTTTATTCCGTGATTCCAACTTAATTTATTGGTTTCTTTAACAATAGTTAACGATAGTATTAAACTTTAAAAATATAGTTGTACGGCAACCCATCGATCAATTAGACAGGGGTACTATTGTAAATAAATTATAAAGTTTCCATCCAAATTTTAAAAATAAATATATTTTTTAGCATTTTTTTTGAAGACGACGATAATTTGTGACATAAT